CCCAGACTTGGGCGTGTCCCCGTGGGCGCACGCGCGCGCACGGCACGCTGGGAAAGCGCCCGCGCGGCGGCCATTTTGTCTTATCGGCTCCTTTTTGGAGGAGGCTTTTTCGGCCTGTGAGCCGGCCGGAGAGGTTGGCGACGGTGTCGCCGGCGTTTTCTTCAGCGGGTGCTAGGGCTGGCGGGAGCAGCCGCCCGAGGGAAGCACCATGATTTCGGCCGCGCAGTTGTTGGATGAGTTAATGGGCCGGGACCGAAACCTCGCCCCGGATGAGAAGCGCAGCAACGTGCGGTGGGACCACGAGAGCGTAAGTCCCGCGGGCCTTGGGCCTGTGCCCGGGCGCCGTCGGGGGGAGGGGAGCGGCGCGGGCTTGGGCCCGCCGGTTCCGCGGTATGATTCGGGGCGGGGGCCGGGACCGCGACGCTGTCCAGTGTTTGACCTGGTGGCCGCAGGGACCCGAGAGCGTGGCCCGGGAGGGAGGAGTCCGCCCGGATCCTGGGATAGGGGATGATTTGTTTTTGTTTTAGTATCGAGGAAGCGTAGAGGGCCATTGGCAGAAGTGAAAAGAACCTGAAGCAGGGAAACGCTGGAAAGGAAGGAGTTATTTAATTATATCAGAGGCTCCAGAGTTTTCACCTCATAATGAAATAGAGGAAAGGACAAATTTTCCCGTTATTTGGGTTGAGCATCGTATTTAGACCGAAGTTTCTGGCCAGGATTAGCGGTAAAAGTCGTGACAACGTATTATTTCAGTAATGGTCCAATTTCTGAATGGACGCTTATATGGGGAAATGAATCTTGAAAAGAGGTCATAACTTGGTAGGGTTTACCCGTCATGATTTACAAATACTGTTTGATAGCGGTACGTTCACTTAAGCCCTTGGTTGTCAAGGCTTTTTCTTAAACATTAAACTCATTTGATGCTCTTAACCCTATGTGTAGGGGTAAATATTATAACCCCAGTTTCACAGATGAGGCTTGAGAGGCTCGCCCAAGATCTGTTGGCAAGTTAAGTGGCGAAACCAAATCTTTGTGATCCTGTTCACTTTCCACAATTCTATGCAATTGGTTCTCTGAAAATACCATGATGTATATTTCAGGTGTTTTGAACGTGGAACATACGTTTGTTTTAGGTCTTACCTGAAGAGTAGATGGGGGCTTTTAATTTTACTTGGCTTGCAGTTTCAATCAAACAACATGATAATTTAAAGGCAGTTACTAATCAAAATATGAAGGAATAGTTAAATATACTTTTTGTAAAGTTAGTTGCTTGCTCTTTAAACACAGGCTTTGGTCAGAGTAAAATCTCTTTTGCAATGCATGAAAACAAGTTAGTGCTACCTGAGTCCTTTCAGATACCTCAAGAAATAAGTGTTAGTTTAAAGCATTGGGATGTTACCTGATTCCGAAGTAGTATGAAGTGTTATGGTAGAATTCATTGTGTGGGGTCAGATTCGCATATTTGGCATTGGCCTCAAGGGAAGTGAAGCTATTTAAAAGTTTGTAGGTTTTTTATATTTCTGGGGTTTCCCCCTACTTGTCTAAATGGGAGACAGTACTTTTGTTGTTTATCTTGACCCTCTTTTTATGTAGGCATTTATTTGTCACAGTGAAGTAACTTTTTCTTTTACCACTTAACTCAGTATTCTTTCCATCTAAGCTTTGCCCAAAAAAGAACATTATGAGTTAGTTGATGTGCAAATAGGACATTTATCAATTTTGAATCAAAGAGAAAATTGCTTTTGATTGCCTCCTTATGGACTGGAGCAGCCTATGCCTCTACCTCTTAGTGTTTTGAACAGTGTTGCGGAGAAACTTTGTTTCGGTGGTGGTATTTATTGCCACATTGCATTATATGTTACTGGTTTTATAGCATTAGCAATGAGGCTCTCAGAATGGCAATTTAAGGTTTTATGTCATCTCAGCTGTAATAAATCTGCTTTCCTTTCAATTTTAGTGCTTCTCACTGATTTAAACTTTTGGTGCTTGTCACCAAAATATTTTATGCCTTTAATGACAGGTTGCACTTCATTCCAGATTCAGGGATTTGAAAGAGTCAGTTACTAGTATTTCAGATTCAGGACTGCAGGGGAAAGTTTGGCATTGACCAGGAACAAAGCACGTGGCCTCTTCTAAATAAGTTGGAATTACCGTAGGGTATAATAAACCTGAGGAAGTTTGTGACATCACTTCCGGGTCATTTGCCTATTTTACGCCTTGGCTGTTAGTGCTAAAATCTTAGAGTAATGGACAACCCCTACATATACTGTCAGTGTTTCACCATCACTGTAACCTGATATTTCAAAATACTTTTGCATTCCTGTTGTAATTGAAAATTTTCCTTTGCAGGACTTGCACTAGTTGGGAAAAGCAATTTCAGCTGGGTGGGGTTTCTTTTGTTTATTGAAATGGAAGCTTTACCTTAGTGGGTTTTTTAACATTTTTTTAAAAATGTATTGCTTTTAGAGAGAGGAAGGGAGGGGAGAGACAGGCATCATTTTGTTCTGTTTATATAGGCATTCATTGGTTGCTGCTTGTATGTGCCTTGACTGGGGATCGAACCCAAAACTTGGGCGTTTCAGGGTGATGCTCTAACCAGCTGAGCTACCTGGTTAGGGCTTTACCTTAGTGGTAAATGTAGTTCCTAGATATCCATATTGGACCTGTGGAATTTGTTTTAAATGTGGTTTTCTGCATCTCACCCCTGCCCCCATTCTAATTCTGAGTCTCCCGGAAGGCCCCAGAAATCTGCATATAATGGCCTCTTAGGCATTCTACTGCTTCCTGACTCACCTGTTGGTCTTGGGTTCTTAATTGTGGGTAGCACTTGGGAAAGCTCATTTTTAAGTGAAGGATGCATCTGTGACACAAATTATCGACCTTTCATTTATTTGTAATGTGATGTATATATTACCACTATCAAAGTTGAATCTCGGAAAGTGCCTTACTGGGGTTAGTACTTAACGGGCCTTTCCAACTCCTTTGCAGATTGCTCTGGATCTGAAAGTAGTTTTCAGCTTTAATACTGTTCCAAGGATTCATTGGCACATCTTGCCTCCTTTGTTATTAATTTATTCCTTGAGATTATTAGTATTTTGCATTAAGCAGTTTGTGTGCTGTGCTTTGTTAATCCTAACCAACCACAGTAATGAGGAAAGCATATGATTTTAACTGCCTAATGAGAGCATATTTCAGTTAGTGTCAACATGAGAAGCTTTCAGTGTTTACCAGACAAGGCATTAGAGGCCTTGTTATTATCAAAATAGATAATAGGAATTTTGTAGTTCAAATTGAAATTTTTACATTGTAGCTCTCAACCCAAACGTGAAATTATGTAATTGTTGGCTTAACTCTGATTCTGATAATACCTAAAATGAGATTTCTTTTATCATTTATCAAATTCACGTATGCCCTCTGTTCAGTGGAGGGTTAATGATTTAAAAGGGGAATTGAACTAAACGTTCTTTTCTCTCAAATCTTCAGAATGTTAGCAGATATTGTCATTGACACTGGAAGTTATTTAGAAAAGAAAAAACCAGTTAAGGCTTCTGTCCACATTTTTATTTGTGAACTTTTTAAGTATTTTACTAGATAATTTTAATTCAGAGTCACCAAAATGATGTTCTGTTGGAAATGCAGGCTTTTCAGCCTTAGTCTATACATGGTAAGTGTTGGGCTTCTCAGAATTGCCAGGAGTCTGTGTGTTAATATGTGTACTTAACTGCTGTTTGCTTTTCTCCCCACAACATATACAAGAAGTAGGGTGAATAGTATGAACTTCCCATGTACTCATACCCAATATGACATTAACACAAGGCCAATATTATTTCTTCTATATTCTCTGCCACTTCCATTATTTTGGAGAATTCTATCACATCAGCCTTTAAGATATCTCTGTATTTCTAAAATACAAACACTTAAATAAAAAAGGACCATCACAATACTCTTACTCACTGAAAATATTAAGGTATTTGATTGATTGCTTTAGGGAAAGTGTGTGTGTACTGTATCATTGGACTTGATTTCTTCATAAGGAGAGAAAATAGCTTAAGTTAGTAATGTAGTGCTTCCTTATTTTATGCAATATGTTTAATTTTCTCATCATTTGTTACTTGTGAGTGGGGGGAAATTCCTGTATTCCTTTATTCAACAAAAATGTATTGCTCTTAGGCTATAGCAGTATAGCATAGTATAGATACAGCACTTGGCATGAGAGAACCACCAGTCTGATGGCAGATACTAAGGAGTAAATGCGATTTCGTAAAACAGTGTGATAAGTGCCACAGTGGGGAAGAGTACACATGAGAGGTGCACCTAACTCAGACTGGGGTATTTGGGAAAGGCCTATTAAAGTGACCCTTAAATACTGGGACCTAAAGGATTAGTAGGAATTAGCCTGAGAGAGTGGGAGAGAAGAGAGATGTTACTAGGGGCTGAAGAAAATCATAGGCTTGAGGAATCCTAAATGGTGTTTTAGCTGGGGTCTTTGTTTGTTTTCCTTGAGGGAGGGGGCATGTGGATAGATAGGCAGGAACATGGTTTTGAATGGTTTTTTAAGTCTTATTAAAAGTTTGGACTAAATTACATTTGGAAACAATTGAAGGCTTCTAAGCAGGAGAGAGATTTTTACTATCTAGCTGCTATGGAAAATTGATTAAAATTTTACCAAAAGTTTGTGTAGGCAATAAAAAGACTGACCCATGACTACAAAGGTATATATGTGATAAAAGGCGTGGAAATAAATGACAGTAGAAAGAGTGATCACGATATAGTTGAAGCCTGAAACTATGTTATTAGGGACTGAATATTTTTGTTACGTATTAAAATTTTTCCCTTTTGTATTTTATCTTTTTAAAAAAATACGCACAATGAATTCAACTCTTAGCTAAAAAGAAACATTTGTTTGTAGCCAGTTAAGCCAGCAGTTTTCAACCTTTTTTCTCTCAGGACACACACAAAGTAATTACTAAAATTCTGTGGCACACCAAAAAATATTTTTTTGCTGATCTGACAAAAAATAGATACAATTGTTGATCTTTCACACCAGACAGCTATTGTTTTGGAATTCTTGAGGCACAAAGGTTGAAAATCGCTGAGTTAAACTATTAATAGTGGAAGTGACTAAAGATTATGGAGTGACAGGTATTCTTTTTTTTCCCCCATCAGTAAAATTTTCAGGTATCCTGGATTTCAAATAAAAAAATGTATATGACAATTAAGTCCCTGTCATCAAAATACTAGGTTGATTGTTGCCAACATGATAAATTTAAAATGGGAGTAGATTATCAAAAACAGAAATTGAGTAAGTTATCTTTATTATGACTATTTATAAAATGGACTTTGGTATCTGGTGGAACCAATTACTTGTCAAGGTTATTAGTAGTGTAGAATACTAAAAGAAGTTCTTTAAGGTATCTACAGGATTTTAGCTAGGGACCTATATTTGTAGGTGTTTGTAAAGACATTCATACATGATTTAATGATATGAAGGCTTTACTATTTGTAAATATTACACAGCTGACCTAACCATTGGGGTGAGAAACAGCCAGGCATTCAACTGGTTTGGGGAAAGCAGTTTAACAAAATAATGCAGACAGCACTGAAAATATTTGGTTAGCTCAAGGGAGACATAAGACATATATTGCTTACTGTTGGATTCAAGTAGACATAGGAAGACAAAAGTCAGTAAGATATTCTTAGCGTACTTTTGTGATTGGGAATGGTCTAAATTGATAATCAAATCTGATAGTGCCTTGAAGTAAATGCTAAAATACGGGACTGTTTTTGTTAAGGTGTTAGTCTTTTTTTAAAATTTGAAGATCTAATTAGCTTTATTAAGGGATTCATAAATCTATGAATTGGACAGCATAACATCTAGCAGCTAGAAGGGCACTCCCTAAGGTGTAAATCTTAGCCAGCATTTTCCCAGTTAAATATTTATACTTAAACCCCAAAAATGTGTCAGTCTTCTTTATATTAAATAACATTCTCATTACAAATTGATTCCATTAATATAGTTGGAATTTATTTTACTATTTTGTTTTCCTTCTGAGTTTAGAACCATTAAAATTTTTTCGAAAGTAAACATGCATGCTTGCTATGAAAGATTAAAGTTTAATATAGAAGTAAATCGTGAAAGTCTCTCTATGCCTCCCTTTCCCCATAGCCAAATCCCCAAAAAAGTTAAAAATTGGTATGTTTTCCAATCTTTTCTAATAATTTACAGACATATCTGTAAGTGAAAGTTGTCATAGATATATTAATATATTTAACAAATTTCATTTATACTGTGGGATCTTTTGATTGGTATATAAGTTTACCTTAATTTATTTAACTATTTGTTTCCTGGTGGGTATGTAGATTATACCTAATTCTTTTAATTTTAAATTAAATGCCATGCAGTACTTAATAGATTTAAGAGTGCTTGTTCATGGCCCTGGCCAGTGGCTCAGATAGTTGGAGCATTGTCCTGTACACCAGAAGGCTGCAGGTTCCATTTCCAATCAGGGCACATACCTAGGTTGCAGATTTTATTCCCAGGTCAGGGCTCATGCAGGAGGCAACTGATCAATGTTTCTCCCTCTCCTCCCCTTCCCCTCTTTAAAAATCAATGAAAACCTATTCCTCAGGTGAGGATTTTAAAAAAAAGTCTTCATGTATTTTTCTGAAAAACTGACTTAGTACATAGAATCTACTATTTTTTTGGAAAGCCTTATGTAAATAAGGCTTAGGTTTCACAATAAAACTTTAAATAGCTCTGGAAAATCAGAGGTATTTAATCATTAGTTTTAGTAGTAATGATCAGTTTTACAGAAAAGCTAAATCACACGATACGTGGTAAAGCCCAAATCCCAGTCTGGGTCAGTTTGATTTTGTGATAAATGTTATTTATTAAAACTAAGATTCCATAAGTATTTTATTGCTATTTCAGTACCAAAAAAAAAAACCTATGTGATTCCTTCTTAGAAATACTTGTATTTGGTTGTATTTTAGAGTTGGGAGGAACCATAGAGATATTTATTCCTTTTGTTTTAATGTTTAAATTCAAGTAGGTATAGACTGACACCTTAACAAAACAGTCCTGTATTTTAGCATTTACTTTAAGGCACTACCAGTTTTGATTATCAAATTATACCATTTCCAATCAGTACACTAAGAATATCTTACTAACTTTTGTCTTCCTATACCTCCTTGAATTTAAATATTAAAATGTAAGTATAGGAAGGATCATAGAGGTTTTTTGAGGATCATAGAGATTGGCCCAGTTTAAATGTAAGAAAGAACAGTAGTCTTCTATTGATTGATTTTGTATAATGACAATAGAAGTCTTTTGAAAACAGCAAAATCAGTCTTTAGATAGAATCCACTCCCAAATCTCAAAATATACTTCGTAAATATGGGAAGTAGAAATTAAAAAAATGTGTACGTCAAAGTAAAATGCACAGCGATGGTGAAGTCTCATACCTATGAGAGTTTCACACTAAATTTAGTTTTTAAATTATTATATGACCACACAATTTGTAGCTATAAATAACAGTAAGTACTGGTGGTAACTATCACTAAACTATTACATATAACTTTTAGTTGTGGGAAATTTGTTAAATAATTTTTGGGCCCGTGGAACCAGGTTAATAGTCTGAAAGATATGTGGCATATTCTTTGCCTCTGTTCTCTCTACACCAGATATAAAGTGTGGGTGCAAAGTTTAACAAATCACTTTTAAAAGAATATTTTTATTGATTTCAGAGAGAGGAAGGGAGAGAGAAGCATCAATGATGAGAGTCATTGATTTGCCTCCTACATGCCCCCTACTGAGGATCCAGCCTGCAATCAGGGCATGCTCCCTGACCAGGAATCAAATCCTGACCTGGTTCGCAGATCCATGCTCAACGACTGAGCAACACCGGCTGGGCAACAAATAATTTTTAGTAATTAGAAAAGTATATAGCATATTATATGAGCATTGGAGGTTTGGAAATAATCTGAAAAACCATTAACCATTTGAGCATATCCTCACCCGAAGATATTCTTCCATTGATTTTAGAGAGGAAGGGAGAGAAACATCAGTGTGAGAGAGGAGCATCGATTGGTTGCCTCCCACGTGCTCCCTGACTGGGAATTGAACCCACAACCTTTTGTGCACCAGATGACGCTTTAGCCAACTGAACCACCCGGCCAGGGCTAGAGCCTCTTTAATAGTTCGTAAGAATGGTGTTTAAGTTTCAAAGAGTAATCTTAAAAATCAAGTATTAGAAGAATGTCTAAAGAAAAGAAAATGGTACAAAGATATTATGTCTTATGGCTATATGTAATATAATATTGCTATAAAATGAAATCTTTCGATACTTAGACATGATTTTTTTAATCTTTAATTGTTTTTTAAAATTAAAAAAATATTTATTGATTTTAGAGAGAGGAAGGGAGGAGGGAAAGGGGTGGTGGAGAGAGAACACCGATTTATCGTTCCACTTATTTATGCATTCATTGGTTGGTTTCTTGTATGCATCCTGACTGGGGATCAAATCTTCAACCTTGGTGTATCAGACGACATTCTAACCAACTGAGCTACCTAGCCAAGGCTAATTGTTCTTTATGACCTTAGTTTTTCTGGACAAAGCTTATGGAACCATATTGCTTCAAATAAGTGTAAACAATTTGATCTGTGAGGCAGAAATCAATCTATGTCATATTTAACATCTATTTCTAAGCATCTAGAAATAACTCTCATTCTATCTTAAATTTAACATTTTCTTTCACGTGTCGTAGTTGTACATTGATAGTTCATCCAATAACAGTGAAGTATTATATGAAGGAAGGAAGGTACTTTGGAATTTTGCTTACCAGGTTTTGATTTGCAGTGTTATAGAATTAAATATAGGATAATCTTAGAATATAGCTGAAGGAATTATAGAAGTACCAGAGGGAGAGAATTAAAAGTCAGTTTCATGTTAATTCCCCATACCATAGGAGCCCATCAAGAGTCACTCAGTAAAGTGCTGGTATATATGGAAATACTGATACATATTGGGGCAGGTTACAGTATCTCTTAAGTGAAAATACTGAACCAGATTGCTTTAAATGAGTGTTATTTATAATTTATCCAATGCTTCCCAAATCCTAATCCGTAAATTGGTTCTGGTCTTTAACAATGTTAGAACAATAAGAACAGTGTAGGTTGTTTTGGTGTTTGTTTTTATAAAAAAATAAATATTCCTTTTTTTCTGGATATCTTCCCATATTTTTTTGTTGCTATTGAGGGGGTGGTTAGTGATTTTAAAAGCTGGTAACTCTTTGTCAGTTTTACACATTTCTTACTGAGATGCAGGAGTCCAGAAGTCACTCGTTCACCTAACTAATATGGTCTAACAAACAAAATAGTTCTTACACTTACTTGGTTGAAAAATGAAAATCCAGAAATGAGAAAATAGTTATTTGGCACTTTTTCCAATATAGTTTTAAAACAACAATGTAAAAAAGTTAAGCACTTTTGTTTTTCTTCACTAGGTTTGTAAATATTATCTCTGTGGTTTTTGTCCTGCGGAATTGTTCACAAACACTCGTTCAGATCTTGGTAAGTGAATTTTCTATGTAATTCTTATTCAAATTTATGACTTTAAAAACTGGTACTTTATCATTCTGAAAAGTTTTCTCTTTAAAGGCTTGTTGATAAAGTAAATTTTTTCCTGGCTTAGATTTTTGAATGTATTAATAAATGTCAGTTTAGTTAATTATACAATACATGTCTATTTACATTCCCTCCCTAATCCCCTCCACTGAAATGGAAATTTAAAAACAAAAAAGGTGTAAATGGAAGAGGAGATAACATTAGAGGTGTCAACAAATTTTTGGAAGATGACAAGTGGATGGAAGAGTAGCAACAAACTCAACAGAGCAGAGAAACCTGAAATTTAGCCTGCAGAATGGGCTATTAAACAGAAACAAGTGATCAGCAAAGCCCTGGACAGGCTCAGGATTTGGAGGTACCAGGTACCATAGAAAGCAGAGTTGAGTAATGAGACCAAAAGTGACAGATTAGTCTAGTTATGGGTTTCTCAATCTTGACATTTGACATTTTGAACTGGGTAATTTTCTTGTTTTCGGGGTGTGTTCTATGTTTTGTAGAATGTTTAGCAGCATCCCTGGCCACCTATCCTCTAGATGCCAGTAGCACAGCCCCCAATTGTGATAACCAAAACTGTCCCCAGGCACTGCCAAGTGTCCCTTGGGGGCATGATTCCTCTCTGTTGAGAACCACTAGTCTAGGTGGTCTGACTCTTAAAACCTGTGCATATGGTGATTATGCCTCTCTCACCCTGTACCCCAGGAGACTAGAGGGTTACCTCCTAGAGAAATCAGGTGAAAGAGACTAGTTCAGCTGAACCACAAAATGTAAAAAAATAATTGAGTGACTATTCTCCCAAGGATGGTACATAACTAGTATTATTTTAGAACCATAAAAGAGAAGTTAATTCACTAAGCGTACTGCTTGCCCTTGAGCATTAGGAGCACATTAAGGGTGAATGAGTCTAGATATTGGGATTCCAGACATAGCACAGGGCAGTAAAGAATAAAAATGAGACTGTAAGAGATTAAATGAGTCTATATTCTTAATAGTGGGGTTTTCCCATTCCCTCCTCTGCCCTGTTCCTAGAAGAATACAGCCAGATGTTTTTCCCCAGGCAGAAGAGAAGAGGATTCTTTAGAGAAAGTGAACAGTTCCAGAGAAGTGATCTACAGGTACTGACCCTTGGGGAGTCTCCTAAAAGAAAGTCTTGCTGCCTGATTTTTCAATGGGTAAAGCTCCTATTAGTTGACAAACCCTGCCTGTGCATACCAACTTCCAGTTAGATTTTGGAAGTGTTTTGCCAGCCAAGGACACCAGTCAGACATTTGAAGAAAACTTTCAACACAAGAGATTAACGAAAACCAACAATAAAAAAGAATTGAGTGGAGTTAGAGATAATGGGGAAAGCAGAAGAAAAAAATTTTAAAGTTTTAACTAAATTTAGTATCAGAAATAAGAGAAGATATCAGAAAGAATAGGGTGCTATATAAAAATGGAACTTTTGATAAACCAAAAAGAGCTCTTGAAATTAGAACTGGAGAAATCTGGAATGAAATCAGTGGAAAAGTTTGAGAATAAAATCAAGGAAATTTGCTGGAATATTGGGTAATTGGACAGAAAAGATTAAAATATCAGCCCAGCTCTCTTAATAGCTGAATAAAAGTCTAGATAGAGAAAACAGAAAGGAAAAAATTTAAAGTTTTTGCAGTACTGAAGGATGTTAGTCTCTAGATTGAACGTGGTCTTCAAGTTCTCAGCACAGTGAGTGAAAAAGATCCATACCAAGACACACCATTGTGAAATTTCAGAACCCCAAGGGTGGGGGTCGGGCACACAGAATTGTGAATGAGAATGGCCTCAGATTTGTCAGTAACAACACTGGAAGCTTGAAGACATTGGAGAAACACCCTGAGGATTCTGACTGAAAAGTATTTTTACCTAGGTTGGCTTTATAGCCAAACATGAAAGTATGAGGGTAAAAGAAATTTTTTTCAGACATGCAAGGTCTCAGCAAATTTATCTCACATGAACCTTTTCTCTGGAAACTCCACCGACACATGGGCATAAACCAAGAAGGAGAAAAACAAGAGATCCAGTAAACTGCATCCAATACAGACCAGAAAAGGAATTTCTCAGGATGACAACTATTAGTGAGCTTAGAAAATAAGCAGCCTAGATTGAAGAGATCAGAAAGCTCATGGAAGAAAATGAAGCTGATTTTCTGATGTGTTTTGAATCTTGAGGAAAGTTAATATTGAGATAGTTTCTAGAGTTAAAGTGTTTGTGAGAAGAATTTGGAAGTAAATAGAAAACTAAAATGAAAAAATCCAGGGATGAAGTGTATTCAAAGTGTCATCATAATGCACCTTTTGTTTGGCTCAGCAGTTAATAGTACTTGCATAGTCAAAATATAACACTGAATATTTAACCTAAAATTTTGATGCCCAACATAAAATAAGTATAGAAGTTATAAATATGGAGAATTTATAAATATCCAGAAGAAACAGCTAAAAGGGTTAAAATTAGTAGCCTTTTAGAGATGGAAAGGGATGAGACTAAAGTGCTAGTCTTACATGGTTTGACCACATGTGCAGATATTCAAATTTAATAAGATGTCAGTGGTGTTTCTGACCAGTGGTCTGCCCTCATTAGAGTTTTTTTCCTTGGGCAGCATCAAAGAACAATTTTCTCTTTCTTCCCACTCCCTCTTAACATACAGTTGCTCTCCATTAATACTGATCTCGAAGACTAAGGAAAACAAATTTCATGTGTTTATTTGGGCATGTTGCTTCATGATTCATTAAGCTCAATTTAGGTATCTACAGACTACTCAAATGATAAAATGAATCTTTTTTCCTTTTTTTGAAGAAAGAACTTTTGTTTTGGCAAGAGAAAAAGTTGTTAAAGTCACCATTACTTTATGTATGTTCATATTTCTCATTTTTTCCCCTTCAGGTCCTTGTGAAAAAATTCATGATGAAAATCTACGAAAACAGTAAGTTACTTTTTTTTCCCCCTCACTCCCCTTTTCTCCTAGTTATTATGTGGTTTAATGGGGACAAGGATTGAAGAAATAATTGGAATTGATGTAAAATGAATGCCTGATAGAGGTCCATCATATTCATTAGCTGGGGGTGGTATAGCTTCAATAATGATACATCACAGTTGCTTTTTGACAGCCCCAATTTTATAAATGAGACTTGTCCAGGTTCACAGATCCAATGTAGTAGAGCTGGTGTTGAAGCACCTAGGTTTGCCTGATTGTAAAATTTATGCTTTTAACCAAACATAATGCTAAATACTACCTTCCCTTTACCAGGAGGAGGGACAGCTAGAAATTCACTTGTTAAATATCTAGTTTACCCTTTAGCCTAAATGCAACTGTCTGTGAGACTAGTTAAGATAGAATATGTGAGTTGTAATGAATAAAGATTTAGAAAAAATTTAATGCTTGTTTATTTTCATTTTTATCAGGTATGAAAAGAGTTCTCGTTTCATGAAAGTGGGCTATGAGAGAGATTTTCTGCGATACTTACAGAGCTTACTTGCAGAGGTAGAACGTAGAATTAGACGAGGCCATGCTCGTTTGGCATTATCTCAAAACCAGCAGTCCTCTGGGGTGAGTATGAAATTAATTTACAGTCTTTGTAAAGTGTCCTTGTTCTCTGGAGACCTTTCTAGTATTGAAACTTGTGTTCAAGTTCATTCATTACTTTGTGTTCTTTTAGAATGACATAAAACTTTAAAGGCGTTTTTTTCAGTCTTTATTAGTAAATGTAGTGCCGATTTTGCTAATCATAAGATTTTTCTCATAATTATCAGTAACTGACAATATGTAATTGACTAACAAATTGATTGGCTAACAGAAATTGAAGATAGCTCAGTTACTATTCTTGTGATTCGACATTTTATTAAATACAAATATATATGGTATATGAGAGTTTGAATATTTATCTTTGGTTTTTACTGTTTGGTAATATATTTTATTGTCTTCAATAGGCAGCTGGCCCAACAGGCAAAAATGAAGAAAAAATTCAGGTTCTAACAGATAAAATTGATGTACTCCTGCAACAGGTAAGAACTATATGCATTAGTGTCAGAAAATACTTGGAATAAACACCTAACCAAAGAAGATATCAGGATGGCAAATAAATATATGTAAAGGTGCTCAATGTCCTTAGGGAAATTAAATTAAAACCACAACGAGATACTTGTACACCTATCAGAACAGCTAAAATTAAAAAGACTGACTATACCAAGTATTAGTAAAGATGTGGGCAGACTGGAACTAACACACACTGCTGGTGGAATATAAATGGTGCAACCACTTTGCAGAAGAATTTATCTGTTTCTTAAAAAGTTAAAAGCTATACCATGAGCTGTTTCACTCCTAGATATTTACCCAAGAGAAATGAAAACATGTTTACACAAAGAGTTGTATGCCAATGTATATATAGCAACTTTATTCATAATAGGCAAAAACCCTTAAAAAAACAACAGGTGAATGGATAGACAAATTGTGATGTATCCATGCAATGGAATACTACTCAGTAATACAAAGGAATTAACTGCATGGAACAGTATGATGAATTTTAAGATAATTAGGCTGAGTGAAAGAAGCCAGGCCGCCGCTTGCCCCCAAGAGTGCATAGTTCCACTTATATAAAATTCTAGAAAATGCAAAATAATTTATAGTGAAAGAAAGCAAGTCAGTGGTTGCTTGGGGAGGAGGTATTACAGAAACATGAGGGAACTTTTTGGGGTGATGGATGTTTTCATTATCTAGAATAATAACGCTGGGGAAGGTCTGTCCCGTGGGCTGTATACAGCCTACGAAACCATTTGGTCTTGCCAAGGCAACCACAGGCGGGACTCGAAATTCAATAAATCTAGGAGCTTTTTTCATAGCTAATTTTTAAGTTGATAATTTTGTATGGCCCTCAAATGATGTTATCAATATTCAAATGGCCCTTGGCAGAAAAAAGGTTCGCCACCCTAGATGAAGTTTCATGGTGTCAAAACCGCATTGTGCACCTTAGAATAAGCAGTTTGTTGCATGTCGAGTACACTTCCTTAATGCTATAAAAAATCAAAAGGGTAAATTAAACACAGGCTTCAGTGAACAAAACCAAACAAAAAGACCCAAACAACCATGCTAATGAAGCATGGGGGGAGAAAGAAAAATATTTGGATAGTTTGCTTAGAAAGGAGTTTGAATGCTTTTTGTTGTTCTTTTAAATCCCCCCTAGATTGAAGAATTGGGATCTGAAGGAAAAGTAGAAGAAGCCCAGGGAATGATGAAATTAGTTGAACAGTTAAAAGAAGAGAGAGAATTGCTTAGGTCTACAACATCGGTGAGTAGCAACCTCATTTCGATTTACCCAGGCTGTTTGCTATGAATTACTAGGACCTGTTTCTATTTGAGAACTTCTATAAACAATTTTCTTTTTTTTCCTTTTTTTGTAAACAATTTTCTAAGGTCCTGAATCAAGAGTCAGCAAACTTTTAAAACAAAGGGCTACATATAAGTATTTTAGATTGGCAAGCCACACTACATAGCTCTGCCTTTATATTATGAAAGTAGCTTTAGACAGTACATAAACAAATTGTTGTGGCTTTGTATCCAGTAAAACTTGTTTTACAAAAACAGACCTCTAGCTGCTGGCTTGCCAACTGGTGCCTTATATCATCATGAGTAATTTTGGGCCTGTTGTTGTACATTTATAAGAATAGCTAAAATTAAAAAGACTGACCATACCGAGTGTTAGTGAAGATGTGGACAAACTGGAACTATTTTTATTTTATTTTATTGTTAAAATAAGTTAGTACATATTAATCTTCAATATTGGTGTACACCTAAAATAGCTTCAACTTTTAAAAAACTTCTAGAGAATATATGTTATGGATATTGATGGTAGAATATAATTGGTCATTGGTTCCCAACTATTGACTAGGTTATGCTTAGGTTATACTCAGTTAGTTCCTTAATGATTTTGAAAAGCATTTTTAATATGGAGGTGACACCTTTAGCCTGTTGAACCTAAGCAAGAAATGAACTTAGACTAAAATAGGTTGCTTTCTGAAATATAGTTTAACTTTCTCAAGGCAGTGCAGGTAATTCAACGGTTGCAGTTGAGCATGAGGATTTAGCACTTCCTGGATGAGATAAAGAGTTGATACTGTTGTCATCCATCCCCTTTGTAAAAGTTGACCAATTAACTGCTCGAGATTATGCCTGGGGGGAAATGGAAAATAGCAATTCACGAAATTAAAAATCTATTCTAGATGTTAAGTACTCTTTTTGGATTTGTTTGTTTTTTCTTTCTCAGACATTCTTATAACTGATTTATCATTTTAGACAATTGAAAGTTTTGCTGCCCAAGAAAAACAAATGGAAGTTTGTGAAGTGTGTGGAGCTTTTTTGATAGTAGGAGATGCCCAGTCCCGGGTAGATGACCATTTAATGGGAAAACAGCACATGGGCTATGCCAAAATTAAAACTACTGTAGAAGAATTAAAAGTAAGTTTCTTTTAAACATGTATTTTAGCTATAGCTAATACTATATTATGGCTAAAAATTGATTACGTAGATATAAACGTTGTTGATATTTTCTGATGTGTGTTATTTGAAGCAGTGATAATCCCTATAAAATTTTGCTAAGTCAGTTAGATTAGCAAAGTACCTTATTTGCTTCACTCTTCTGTGCTAGGAATTTGGGGAAAAGAATTTTTCTGAGGAATTAGTCAAGTAATGATATCTTGTGTACATCCATGGTGTTGGAATTTCTATTTTAGGGCATACTATTTCCTAAGTTGGTCTACAAATGCTTCACATTAGAGAACCATTGTTTGACAATGCCTTTTAAAGTCTTAGCTCTATAAAAATTTATCTCCTTAGGAAAAATTAAGGAAAAGAACTGAAGAACCTGATCGTGATGAGCGTTTAAAAAAGGAGAAGCAAGAACGAGAAGAAAGAGAAAAAGAGCGGGAGAGAGAAAGGGAAGAAAGAGAAAGGAAAAGACGAAGAGAAGAGGAAGAAAGAGAAAAAGAAAGGGCCCGCGACAGGGAGAGAAGAAAGAGAAGTCGCTCACGGAGTCGGCACTCAAGCCGAACTTCTGACCGAAGATGCAGCAGGTCTCGGGACCACAAGAGATCGAGAAGTAGAGAAAGAAGGCGAAGCAGGTTTGTAGAGCACGTGAGATCATGCCTGGTACACAGTGAGTGTGCAGTAAACAGTAGTAATTACTAGTGTTATTCCTTGGTACATGGGATGGTCTTAAGTATCATTAAGCACTAGGATGGATTATGAATGTTGAATCAGTGAACTAGTCCATCTTCAAGGCAAATTCTTTGCTAATTCCCATCAGTCTGGGGAGGTTTGATGCAATCTTACTAGGAAATGAGTTTACTGGGTGTTCTTTGAATTGCTTCTCTTCTCATTGGTCCTATGAAGACACTTAAGTCATAAGTTTTTTTAGGTAAGATTACCTACTTTTGCTTTGAACAACATCAAGCATAATTAAGAACTAAAACATCATGTAATTCTTTAAAAACACAAATATGAAATTAGTTTTACTGTTTTAATTAGAGTTGTGATTGAAGAGGGGTCATAAAGAGCATAATGATAACTCTCTTAGCACTTTGAAAAATTGAAGTTAGATTTTCAGTTCTTAAGATTTCTAGTGTAAATGGGTTTTAGTAGTAGACTATATTCATTTGCCTTTTAAGGATAAGTTTAGTTTAATTTTGTTATTTAACGGTATATAATTCTCCAAGGTTTTTTCTTACTGTAAATATCAGCTAAAATTGCTTTTCTTGTATTTTAAATTATTAAGAAGTAGAGATCGCAGAAGAAGCAGAAGCCATGATAGATCAGAAAGAAAGCATAGATCTCGTAGTCGGGATCGAAGAAGATCAAAAAGCCGGGATCGAAAGTCGTATAAGCACAGGAGCAAAAGTCGGGACAGAGAACAAGATAGAAAATCCAAGGAGAAAGGTTAGTTTATGTGAGAATTTGATTCATTAAGAGATTTTCACTCTTGCCTCCTCAGTCTTCTTTGGACATAGACAGAGGTCCATTTCAAGCTGTACTCCTTTTCACTTAGTGGTAACACCATTCAGCAGAAGATGGGCATTAGTTTCCCCTCTCCTGCTCTGATGTGTGAGAATGACTGTTGACCTGGTGTTTTCTAAGAACACATTAAAACCACATTATTCAATTGATAACCTGAAGTTTTATCATCTGGATTCTTCCAAGTATTGCATTACTTTTCAGGTTTTGGGGGCTATAGAATATATTAACTTTGTTATTGGCAGCATTTAAAAAAAATTTGCTGTAGTGTTCCATAATATGTCTTGCAGAATAAATGTACATTGTCCTCATATATGTCTTCATATGTAACATTCATTTAACTTAATAATTAACTTCTAAGTTCACAGAAGTTGAATATCTTACACGTGTCTTAACCATGTTTTCTATTGAAATATGCTGTTTCCCCTCTACTTTTTCCTTTGGTTCTCTGTGGCATCTTAGTATTTGGTTTACTGTGCACTATTAATGAACTGTCTTCATTTTGTCTTCGGCATGTTTTCACAAGGATATCCTCATCCTTTAACTTAGCCTTTATTGAAAGATAATTCTTTTAATCATCAGGCTCTTCTTTCTGCATTTTCTTCAGATTCTTTGAACATTTTTTATTTTATATTAACTGTTCTGCTTTGCATGAATTTTAGGGATGAGAGAAAGGGCCTATTTCTAATTTTCTTGGCTCTACTTGTTCCATCCTGTTCTGCCTATCTGTGTCCATGTTTGATCGCCAACATAATATGTGTGCTGCTGTTTGAGTTTATTGTACTGGACTTTCATGTGATACTTGTTTATTATTTTCTTTTATGGAACTCTCCTTTGCTGGTTTTTTTTGGGGGGGGTGGAGGCATACTCAAGTTTTTCTAGATTGAGTTAGAGAACTAGCAGCACAAACAAACTTTTTTGTCTTTTGCTTTTATTTTTCCTTAAATAAGTGCACTTTCTTTTAAAATATATTTATACGTATTGGCTTTTTCTGCAACATGGAGCAAATGTTAAAAAGTAGGGAACAGGGGCAATTTTTTAAACTTCCACAAGCTTTAGTGTTTGCCATTTAAGTTCGGAAATTACTTCTGTGATTCAGAGGGCTACAAAGGATTAACTGATTTTCCATTAGTTTCAAGAAAGTTCATCCAACATTTTTATAAGATTTTCTGTATAATGTATTTTTAGGGTGAGGGATCAACTCTTAAGAGGTAACTAGTGATGTCAGAGATCAAATTAATCACTTATCTTTGAGAACTAATGCTCTTTGGTATATCATCGTTCATGCTACTTAAAGTAGTTGGATTGGTTCTCAGGGACAAAAGTTAGCTTTCATAGCTATCTGGGATCAAAGTTGAGCAGTAAATGCCAGTGGCCTGATTAAAATAGATGTGTTTGTGTAATTTCTGGATAGAGCAAAAGAGATGTCCTGAATTGCTTAGCTATAATCCTAATTGTAGAAATGGCATTATGGAATATAATAAACTTTTAAGTAAAAATAAGATGCATTGTGTTTAGAATATGGACAGACAGGGATTTTCCTGGTGAGATACTGAGACTTGGTTCAGAGAAAACTCTGCATCAGGTCCATCTTGAAAAGTTGGGTTTGCTGTGATAGATTTATCTTAAACTTTGGGGTCTCTTTTAGAAGTGATAGGATTTACTGGCTTTTGAAAGTGCCATGTAGCCACTTAGGCACTCCCAGGTATATAAATGACTGAAAGCCTGAACTTTGAGGCCAGATATGAGCAGTAGCAAACATTTGATAATGCAAATGAGTAAGAGGGAGTTCACTACTCCACGTGCTGTTATGGAAGCACTTTATCTAACTCCACAAATGAAAAGGGGTTTCTTACACAAACTTTTTTTTTTTTTTTTTTTAACCACCAACCAACTTAAGGTGCTCTCTTTGTCAAGAGAGTTTCCTTTTTTAATCCATAGCCCTAAAATCCACCACACTTTGTGGATGTCCTTAGGACTATTAAGATCTACCATATTTACATAGGGCAGAAGATAAGATTATTGGACTGACTACTAGTCCTCTACGGGGCAACAAGACGACTCTTCTTCATTGAAGCTACCTGTGCACCGGAGAAGCCCATAAGGCACAAAGGGAGGACTTTCCCACAAGGTCAGTTAGAGCACACTGTACTGGCACAGTTCTCATAAGTGGACAGACAGATATGAAGCAAGTCCTGCAGTCAGCTACTTGGGCATTGCTTTGTGCATTTTGCAAGTGTTATGGACTGAATATGCTCCTTCACATAAAGATCTTCAATTCTTACATTCTTTGAATGAGTGCCCCTCATACCATATTTTGTTTTCATTACCATTCCTCTCCCAGTTGTCAATGTTGCGTCTTAATACCTTTGTCCAGGTTCTATAGAGGGTTGTGCTGCTCTTGAAACATCTGTCTTATGAACTAGTCTGCTAGACCAGCTATTCTTAACTTGGTTGTAAGGAGAAAAAGTAACTTTTCCAGAAAGTTTGTAGCTTGCTTTAACGTTTTCTGTAGAAGTCTTTTGTTAGGTAATACTTGGAACTGAAAAGGCTAGAATATACTTGCTCTGTGTACCACTTTTCCCTCTAGTGTGAGGCTTCGCCATTCCAAAGAAAACAGAAGAAGAAAAACATCGAGATGCACTTTTTCGTTCTTTATTTGCAGCTGAGTTGGACTTTAATTTCTCCTTTTGGAAAAACAACTCTGAGTTGGTCTATATATTACTTAGCAAAGCATAAAAGTTCAGTACTTGGATTGGGATTTAAGGTCCACTTCCTTTCATTGGGCTTGTCCCTCTTGGGCATTCAAATATATAAAAAGATACTAGATAGTTGGAGAAACATGCCTATTAAATATTCAACTTTTTTTCACCTTTTGCAGTTACTATTTTTACCTTTTTAACTTAATAAATTTACTTCATGTGAACGTAGCGTCTGTGTACTGTCTTTCATATCTTTCCCATTGCTTTTTGATGTTTTTTACCCCAAATAAAACTTACTTAAACTTTAGATTCTGCAGTAATTTGGAGTTGCCTGTACTTCAGCTTCTCACTAGTTTGAGATTTTGCCCACTGTTTTACCCTTTGCTTTTTTATGATTCCCTGCACCTCCATAAATTACAGATTTTATCTCTTTGATAGATTGACCAAACTGTGTACTTGCAGTCTGTGGGAAGTGATTGTCTTTTTATCTCTTGATTGTTTCATTTTTCAAAGTATCATGTATGTATCGTATTTTACTTTAAAATCCACGATCAATGTCTTCTTTTATGGCAGAAAAGAGGGGATCTGATGATAAAAAAAGTAGTGTGAAGTCCAGTAGTCGAGAAAAACAGAGTGAAGACACAAACACTGACTCAAAGGAAAGTGATACTAAGAACGAGGTCAATGGGACCAGTGAAGACATTAAATCTGAAGGTGACACTCAGTCCAATTAAAACTGATCTGATAAGACCTCAGATCAGACAGAGGTAAGTGTATTGTTTCTCACTTTGATTAGGGCTTTTTGTTACTGTTTGACAGTGCAGCGTAAGTATGCACAGATGAAGATGGATCTAAGCCGATTAAGAAGACATACATCTTCTGAAGGAAAAGACAGTGTAGTCCTGCAAAACATTTTGAGGTACATTGTTTTGTCTCAGCTATTTTGTAGCAGACTCGTGCCCCCATTAGTGTGCCTCTTTGGAAATTATTGCCCACATTTGTAATATAGTCGCCATTGAAAAGTTAATTATCCTTTTTTTAGGGATTTTGCTGTCATTTCTTTTTTTTTTTTTTAATAAAAAGGTTGAACTGTTTTTTTTTTTTCTTTTTGGTATTAAGTCCATCTTGTGTTGGTACATTGGCAGAGACATTGCTTTAAAAACTTAAATATTTCTGAGGCACATGTTGGACTACTTTGTTTTAATTAAACTGCTAGTTATTTCTTTGTCAAGGATGTGTCTAGTTTTTTGCTTTATTGCCTTGCATTCTAATGCAGTTTGTTCTGTAACTCGAGAGCCAGTAGCATTGGATTGATGGAAGTGTAGGGTTTATGAATTATTGCAGCTGACTACCATACCTCACACAGCGTTGGTGTTGTGAGCGGCCCATGAAAAGCCAAATTAAAAATCAAGGATTCAGTCAAACTAAGCAGGTACTCATGCCAGGTACTCCTTTCTCTACCCACATCCATGTTTGAATGCTATTGCCTGTGATCTTTACGCTTAACTGTTGTGTATCTTTTTGTTCTTTACAAGAAGCACAGGGGTTTTTGTGTATTGCGTGAAAACTTATAAATCAAATGTTAACAGAATGGAATTTTTTTTCAACTGTATGTAGGGATGCAGTGGTGCCCAGAATTAGATATCTTTAAAGAATTTTAAATACAATAAACACTTCATATTATTCGCCTTGTTACATTCAATGCAATTCTCAAGTCTTTAAGAGGTATGTGTTTAATATTTCCTACTGTGTAGGAGACTTTCGCAGTCAGCCATAGGTCTGTAGGTATAATCACTGGCTGATACATTTAAAGCAGCAGTGAGTAGTAAGGATAGACATTTTCAGTCTGAAGTGCAAAGAACTGATGAAACATATAGAATGAATTTGGGTTTTTAAAGAACTATTAACAGTCAGGTTTTATAAGAGTTCTTAAAACCTATAAACTGTTCATTCTTTGGGCTAGTGGCATGGGATAGAATATTCCTAATGAAAGGAAGTACCAATTAGTTGATTTGTCTGTGGCATTCCTTTTCTAGGACAGCAATATAATGTAATGCCTGTGTGCGCCATTCCCACATAGGCAAGCATACACAGGCACATGGCTTTAAGACCACACTGATGCTTTGATAATCAAAAAGAATACAAGAACATTCGTATACATATGTTATTAGCAGTTAGTGACTGGGCCAACACTTAGTCATAAAAGTTTGCCTTTTACATGTTGTCTAATTATCATTTTTCCCCAAATTTTGCATTATAGGACTACTGTTCGAAGATTTTTGGAAGAAAACTGAAAACGGCGTAAAGTGAAGACCGACATTAAAATGAGGTGAAAGAAAACTATAGTGGCATAGAAAAAGTATAAAGCTCAGTTAGTTGTTTGTTTGTTGTTTTTTTTTAATTAAAAATTAATTCAGGACTGATGTGACCTACCAGATTTCAGAACATGTGTTAATATCATATATATGCCACTGAAAACTTAGGTCATGTATCATATTTTTTTCTTTAAGACTTTTTAAGAAATATTACCTAAACATGTGGCTTGCTCAGTGTTTAATTGCAAGTTTTCACTCTCGGACTTCGAAAACGGGATTAAACGTTAGTGTTCGTGTGACTAAGACAGTGGGATTCCATTTTTACAACTCTGCTATACCTAACCTAGCCTTTGGATTTAGAAGTGAAAATAAAGTATCTCTGACTTTCTGTTACAGATTTGATTGTCTCTGTCATTGGGAAGTTTTAGTATTAATCTTTTTCTAATAAAGGTGTTGACTCTGAACTAGTCCCTTGTTTTAAATATGAGGTACACTGTTACTAGAGGTGTTGGTGGTACAGTTTTATCTGGTGGTTCTGTTTAAGACTAATTTTTATAGAATTTCCAGTTTAAATGTTTTTAATAATGGTGCTTCAATTTGGGGTAGTTATGAATAAATTTGAATTTTGCTTATAAATAGCAAAGATGTACAGTGAACTAGAATATATTTTTACATCCCTGAAAGATATCTTTAGTAGTAGTAAATTCAGAATATCCTTCTGATGAACACAGGCATCCTCTAGCTGTGATATAATGATGTAGAAGAGCATTCAAAAACTTTTAACTCATTTTTAGTCTTTGTTTTAAATTCTGTATCAAGATTTCTTTTAATCTGATCTTGTCAGAATACAAATGTATTTATTTCTATGGGGTGTGTAATACATATAACAAGGATTAAAAAACAAACAAACTAGTTAAGCAGATGATTTCCCTCCCTTTGTCACATACGGCAAATTTGGTGGCTAGTTTCTTTTGATAGTCCTCTTTGTCAAGAACTGTATAAAAGTATCTCCAGCTACATATATCATAGTAATATTTTGTGATTTATAATTTTCAAATATTGCCGTCAGTTTATAGGTAAAGAAATTGAGTAAGTGGGTTACATGACTTACCCAAGGTCATCTGGCTCTGTGTTGGCGAGCTAGCACATCAGTCTAGTAGGTCTCTGCCTCATGGTCCAGTGCCTCGCTACGATGCCACTGTATTCATTCGGTAGGCATAATGAACTGTTACAGAATTTACTAACATGCTCTCCACCAGGCTTTGGAAAATAACGAAGCTGCCAGTTCAGAGGCTCTGTGAGAGAATGCTTTGAGGACAGTGCGCTCCTGGCCTACCTAGTTGATCCCGAAGATGCAGCAAATGGGTTGTCTCTGAACTTGTCAGGGATGATTCACGGGAGGATTAATATGAGATGGAAAAACAACCTAACACAAAGTCAGCCACCTCCCAAGCACTGCTTTGTGTAGTTTGACACAATTGTGGTTGTAGGGAGAAAGAATTTACTAAAGTATTAAAGGTAGTAAATTATTAAGGTATTAAAACAGGTTTATTCTGTTCTGCCTCATCTGGAATTAACAGCTAACATTTTAATGATGTACAGGAAACGAGTTCATGAAAAATCGTCATCTCTGCAAACACTTAGATCGATGTCAGAGTTATGTGGGATTTGAGGGGAAGGCCTGGCCCCTTAAAGTGTCCATGATTAATGTCTGGTCTTAGTTGTGGAGATCTAGAAGGTTGGGACACTCCCAACACCCAAAATTTACCAGTCTTGAGAGGAAATGTTTCTTAGTAGCCAAATTCACAAGAATCCAATATAAAGAGATTCTGTATAAGAAATACACATTTCTGCCTTGCAGACCTAAAAGTTGTTAATTGGTTAATGTGTATTTCCTTTTTGAAAAGCCTTGAAGGGGGGAGCCAGTTTTTATTAATCAGAAGAGTACTTGATAAAACTGGAATCAAAGCAGTCAGTTCATTTTCTTTAGAAAATTTAAAAGACATACACATAGTAGAACCAGTATCATTAACCTCTATTAAAACTCATCACTAGTATAACTGAATGGCCAGTCTTATTTTGTTTGTTTGAATCACCTACCCTCTATTATACTGGAGTGTCAGACCTACCATTTAATCTGTAAATACTTCAGCATGTATCTCTAAAAGATAAAGATTTAAACAATAGTTCATTGATTAAAATAATGGGGTGAACTTTTAATTGGCCTATAGTACTGGTCTGATGATTTACTTTTTATTGTGCCTCTCAAGGGGCCCCAGGAATTGAGTCTTCTCCTCTGGCATCCTCCCCACTGCAATATAGAGACCCTTCTACATTCTATCCTACCCCTTTTGTTAACTTTTAAAAAAAAAAAAAATCACAATCCATTGATTTTTCAGTTTGAATCCAAACACATTTCTTGCCGCTTTGAGTCATATCACCCAGCTTAGATATTTATGTCCTCACAGCATTACTCATCTGCAGGTGATCTGTTCGCTTTCTTCAATATAATTAGTGTCACAGAGGATAACTGACCCTCTATCCAAGGTCTGAGAACACGACCATATATGCATTGAGTTCAGCCACCTTCTGATTAAGTTTCTAGAGGTGTTAAAACTGAACAATCTAGGCTAGAAGTTTATCAGGCTTGCGTCCATTCTGTGCTTTTAAAAATGCATTGTAGATGAGCTGTGTGAATGTTCTTAAACATTTTTTTTCTAAAGTGCATGAAACGGAAAATACACTTGAGTTTATTGTGTACATTTTCTGTGGAATGGGACTTCATTCAGGTTTTCAAGTTTGAGTTCGGACTGGTTTTTAGTTTATGAAAGAACCCCAGGTGACTTTTTAAAAAAATTTGTATTACACTTATAATGCTTGTACATGGATGGTTCAAAAAAACAACAGTAGAAAAATAAAATTTAAAAAAATTCTAAAAAAACAGTACATCAGTGGAAGTGTTTAGTGATCCATGTCTTCCTTTCCCTGTCCCTCTGTTCTTCCTCTCCAGGAGCTATGACTTAACAATTATTCTTCCANATGTCTTCCTTTCCCTGTCCCTCTGTTCTTCCTCTCCAGGAGCTATGACTGTTAACAATTATTCTTCCCNGGAAGTGTTTAGTGATCCATGTCTTCCTTTCCCTGTCCCTCTGTTCTTCCTCTCCAGGAGCTATGACTTAACAATTATTCTTCCAAGTGGTGTTTTGTGGGGAGGTGGGCTTTGGAGAATGTAAACATACATGTGTAGATTTTTAAAATATATGATAGTATACCACATGTTCTGAATCTTGCTGTTTCACTCGTATATTTAGAAACATTTGAAACATGGGAGACATCACAGTACATTTCAAGTAAACCAATGCTGAGAAGTAGAAGTGTTTTTCATTGTTATATGAGATTTTTAATTCCTATTTTAAAAATGCAGTTTGAGAGTTTCATAGTCGATCTTTTTCTTCCCCTCAGCCATCCCAAGTAGGTCAGTTGTCAACAGATTTAAGAATGTTTAGGAACAATGGAAAACAGGTTGACTGACTGGCTGTGCCATAACTTCTCTTGCGGCTCTTCCACCCCCTAGATTCATACCTTAGAGAAACTCTGTACACATGTGCCAGGAGATGGACTTAGAAATGTCATAACAGTGTCATTTGTAGTAGGAAGAAAAGGAAAATACACCAACAAAACTGGAAAGACCCCAAATGCCCATCAGTAATCCACTGGATAAATATTGTGATATATTCCACAAAAATCAAACTGAACTACAGCTGCAGGTGTGAACATGGATGAATCTCTGGTCAGAAAAGCAAGTAACAGAAGAACACGTCCACTCTGGTTCTATTTCTGTGAAGGTCAAAACCAGGCTGTTCAATACACGTTGGCTGGGCGATTTCTTCTTTTAACTGTACGTTTTTATGTGCTTTTGTTTGTATGATATTAATAAAATTTCAAGTTGAAAAAGGGACAGATTTTGGTGTAGGTAGTGCCTAATAAAACAGATGTATAAACAATAATGTATTTCATGAAATGAACCCTCCAGTGTGTGGCCAATTTAAAAGGTACTGTTTCTTGAGTGCCAAATATAGGATCTTAATTCTAGTTTTTTTTAGAGCTAGAAACAGGTTTTAACTGTGTGTTTTGTCTTGACGTAGTTTCATTTGGGTGTCAGCCAGGGAGCTGATGCTTTTGTTCTGCTGTTTAAGCAGCTTTCGGGAAGCTTTTCTCACATACATGCCCTTCCAGGAAGGGAAACTGCTAGGCTGCGAAGAGCTGGACTCCTGGCCCATAGCATGGTCCTCCCTGTGTTCGATTTAGATTGTTACCTCAGAGGACCTGCTGCTTTTTACCTTGTTCTGCTCCTAGTGGGCACCATGAAGTATTAAATGTTTATCAGTTGACAGTGGCCCTCATCCTCAAACATACTCCCCAGGTTAGACGGGAGGCCCCTAGTGTGAGCTCAGGACGTAGCCATCAGTTTATTCAAACATCCCTGGACTGCTGCTACTGCCAGGTGCTCCTCCCTGAAGGGTTTCAGCTCTGAGGGGTGTAAGGCGCAGCGTTAGGAGTTATCAGTCACCCCATTGTAAGTTAGCAGTGTGAAAGACCCAAGAATTCTAGATCATTCTATATTTTAACCTAAATATGTTATGAAACTTTAAAGATGACATTCTGGTACTTGATTCATTTCAATGCCTTAAAAATCTTAAAATGGCCAACTTTCAGTGAAATTGCACCTTACTCAAATTAGTTTTCACAGTCTGGATGAAGTGAAAACTATAATAATTACTCTTAAAGCTCTTCAAATTTTTATTAAGCTGTAGCCTTAAGACTATTCATGTTTATCGGAAAATGAGTTTTTTAATGTTTTTGGAGCAGCTGTGTTTAACAACTTGGAATGAGTATAGAATTTTCTGATCCTTGTGATGATTAAATTGCTGCCCTTCTTGATCTTACTATAATTAACCACTAGGCAAAACCTGTGAAAGTTCTGCTATTAGAATAGTATGAGCTTTCCTCCCAACAGTAATTTTTTCAGATTTACTCTGCCATGTTCACTAAAAAATACAACCTAAAATTTCATTTCCACAAATGGTTTTAGGCTAACATTACCAACCCTGAGCCCCTGCCTAACTAAATTGTCCACTATTTTTTTTTTTAATGTTGAAAGCAAAAAGCTTTTCCTTTATTTATGTATTTTTTAATATCTTTGTTGATTTCAGAGAGAGGAAAGGAGAGGGAGAGAGAGAGAGAAACATCAATGATGAGAGTCATTGATCGAGCCCGCAACCCAGGCATGTGCCCTGATCCGGAATCAAACCCTGATCGCCTGGATCCTAGGTCGACGTTCAACCGCTGAGCCACGCCCGGCTGGGCAAATTGTCCACTATTTCAAAACAATTGAAAATGCCTTATGGAGGTGGCACTTGGGAATTGACCCCTTCGTCCCCCCATCACAGCCCTCAGGAACACA